TCAATGATTTGTTGGTCTGGTTCATCAACATTTAATTCAAAGTGTGTGTGTGTGTGTGTGTGTGTGTGTGTGTGTGTGTGTGTGAGGTAATTAGGTGGTAGTTGTGTAACTCCAGTGTGCTCTAGTATCCTTTTTCAGTAGAACTACGTAAATGTCAGCATTAGGCTCCATAATCCATGATACTACAGCTTACTCACTGCTGTCGTAACATGCACACAGCAATATGTATTTTTATTCCTCATATATCAGAAAGGCCTCGGACGTCATTTCCTACTCTTCTATTTATTATGTCATCACATAATTTAATAAAATACAGCTCTGATTGCATAAAAACTCAAAGAAGCCAACAACGCTGCACAAAGTGGTCCGACTAACTAACGTGCAGAACGGAGGAGTTGATTTATAAAAGTAAAGACGGCAGCTGTTAGGTTAATGTGCTGATTTCGAGGCATATGTGTGCAGTTCGCTGCAGCTCAGTTTCTCACAGTGACCTGGCAAAGGTGAAAGCAGTGGTGTATTTTAACATGCTTTTAGTCATTGTTTAGCTTTTACATTTTAGTCCAAGTTTCTCCAACTTCTGTCCAAGTCTCATCATTATTCATGACCTGGTTCACTGATGTCAGCAGTAAAACATTTAAAATGCAAGAAATAAATCCCAAGTCTGTTGATTTGTTTATCCTTTAGTGAAACATCCCCTTGGCAGCCCTAACAAATACCAGGAACCTTTCATGGAGAATTTACAGAGGCCTGGTGAAACCTCAAGAAAGGACAGAGGGCATCGGAGAACAGATCCGTCACAACACAAAGGTACAATGTGATATTAAAGAGGCAAAAACAAAGACATACGTATGAAACTGTATTGATCCAAATGATGTGTTCACTCTTTTTAGAGATGCCACACACGAGATCTTCGTCTCCTCCAGAGAACGGACTGAGGCCTTCTGCAGACCACAAATCAAAAAGCCACCAACGCACTGAGAAGTCCTCAAACCATTCAAGCAGAGGATCCCAGGAGCCTCGAGGACAGTCTGTGGGTTTGCAGGGCGGCGGGCAGAAAAACAACCCCTCCCCGAGTCGCTATGATCAGGATGGCTGCCAGGAGCAGTGGGACAGAGGTGGAAGTGGAGGAAGCCGCAATAAATCTAAGTCCACTTGGAGACCCATACGGGAGGTGTTAAATGTGGACACTGTGCTGAACGAGCTGGAGCAGCGCCGGCAACATCAGCAGGACAGCCCGAGGCGCGGCAAGCCGTCCCAGGAAAGGGTGCACGCCGAACCAAGTCGAGACCGCGAGAGGGAATTTGTACGAACCAGAGAAGATCGGAAGCAGCAGAAGTGTTTGATGACGATTTACGAGGACGAGCAGAGGCACGAGACCGAGAGCCACAGCTCTGTAGAGTCAGAGAGCAGGGCCAACCAGCAGAGGGGCGGCCGGCTTAAAGGCGGCCCCAAGACACTTCTGCGGAGCGACACCTGGATCATTCAGAGGACAGAGTCTGGCTACGAGAGCAGCGACAGACTCAGTAGTGGCTCCACCAACCCAGACTCACCGGGGGTCGACGGCTTTGCTGTCAAGGACCAGCGATCAACACCAGAGGCACAGCTGCAAAGGTAAAAAACAAAGACATTATACTTTACATATAGATGTAAGAATACTATAAGATAACTGAATACAACTCTGCTATCAGAGTTTTTCCATGAAAAGTTAATGGAAACACTTTAATTCATTCGTGGAACTTGAAAGTTTTCACCGTTTAAAGAGTAATTCTGGATCTGAA